CCTGCGGTGGGTTTGACCCAGCCGCTCTCTCCCTCCCCCTCCTCAGCTGGACGGTTTTTCCACCCCCAGACCCCTCCAGCCATTACTGAGCCCTCCAGTCTCCGTCTTCTTTGCCCCCTCGATGCGCTCCTTACTCCCGCAACAGCTCCCTCTGATGAAATGCTCCATCTGGAGAGAGGTCCAAGCAGACTGCGACACCTCGCAAAGGGAGCGGCAACCTGCGCTGGCGAAGAGCGCGGAGCTGAAGCACAGAATCACAGAATAGTAGGGGTTGGAAGGGACCTCTGTGGGTCATCTAGTCCAACCCTCCAAGCACAGCCTTCTCCCGATGCCACATCAATGACTGCTTCCTCCTACTTGCTATCTGGCAGCAAACCTCCAGCGATACAAGATATTTTAAGGAATTTTCCTTCCATGCTGACTGTTTTAACACACACTTAAACATTCATTCCACACCTCGTCGACCAAATAAGCAAGTGGATTTCAATTGACCAGCCAAGAGTAAATACATGCGCTTTTGTTGTCATGGGATCAAAACTGGGTTCATTTGTGTTGTCAAGCTACCATGCTATTAAGGAAACGCCATGAGTTGCAAGCAGCCAGGACTAGAAGGATCCAAAGGCTTGTTCCAAATCTTCATGCTGTCCTCGGGATTTCAAACCCAGGCTCGATGCAATGGCATTATGTGAAACCAAGAATGCTTAATAGGGACGCTTGCTTTTCAATCAAAATTGCTATTAAAAGATCAGTATTTTAAGACGGAGCCCAGTAATCCCAGCTTTCTTGAAACCTCTCTTTCTAAATATCCGGGGGACGCGTGCTGGCTCTCCCCGCCGACGAAAAACCTCCACCGAACTCCAATGCTAAAAATGGTCGCTGGAGAACAGGCATGGAGCAGTGTGGGGGCAGCTCACACGACTTCTGCCTGGTTCGCAGTTCTGCAGCAATCCGCGGCAGCTGGTGCCTGGAGGTCAGGTAACCAGCACATAGTAAAAATCACCCTCGATTTCTATGGCTGTTCCGGCTGCTAAAATAACCAGGGAGCATTGCACTCTATTTATATGCCTTAAGTGTGAATTGTTTTGGTTGCAAACCAGAGAGGGTCGGGCACGACTCAGAAATATGTCCTGTGAAGGCTGGTGGTACCGTTCCCCCGGCACGGACCTCCAGCCCTCTCTGAGTTCAGGAGGCTCTTCCCTGGGGCTGCTCAGTAACCAGTTCCTCCAAGAGCCAGAGGCTTTGGCCACGAAATGAAACGACCCGCCGAGATCCACAGCATCTGCCCCTTCCTTTTTGCTGTTTGATTCCCCCATTACTGTGCAACGAGCGGAGACGAGCCAAAGGCGTCGTTGCCTGATGGATACGAGGGAAGGCAAAACTTCTTCACCCAGTGACGTGACCCCCGCCCCCCGAATCTCCCAGGGCTTCCAAGCTTCCCCAAAACACCCAACCCAGTTTGCCCGTGCGCTTTCCAGACGGCTGAGGTGAATCTACAAGGCGGCTCTTCAGCTGCCCGGCCTGACTCACGTCTCCAGTGCCATCTATGCAGAGACAGCTGCCCAAGGATTGCTCTTATTTTTCACGCCCACAGTAGCAACTGGCTACCAGTCATCACCGTCTGCAGGCTGATGTAGCCCTCGCACTCCTCGCTGCTCGCATCGCGGGAGCCCAGACACGCGACGCAGGCAGCGAGGAGCAGGGCCCCCCGTGCACTAGCCGGAGAAGACCCGCTCTCACGTGCTCCCACCGCCCCGATTCGCGGGCGGCAGCGACCGGCGGAGCAGCGGCACGCAAGGAGGACAAGCTGAGAGCAAGCCAAGCACATTTTGCAGGCTACACAGTAATTCCTGCTCCCAGCAGCTATCATCAGTGGCCACACGTACCCAACACTTACGGCAAAAGGCTACGGATAGGATTATCACGTTAAGAGTAATGAGAACAAGAAGTACAGGCAAGAAAATTACAATATCCTGAAGGGAAGTTTCCGTAATATTAAAATAATCCCACTTCTCTGCAGCCTCCTTCCGAAAACTCAAAATCAAAACGTGTTTCTGTATTGAACGCTTTTTCTTCGAGGCATACGGGCTAGTTAATGCAAGATTGCTCGTCTCCGGTTTTTATTTAAATCTACATAAAGAACGACAAGTTCTTAAAAGCACTGAAATAAAACGACGTTCTTCTTTTTTACCCGGTTATTTTTGTTTGCAAACACCGGGCCTTCTACCTGCGATAACATCCCTCCTGCTTTAAGGGCAATATCAGAATCGACCCCATGGTTACAAGGCAATGAAGCAAGACCAAAGCCAATACTACAAAGGGATGGAAATAAGGGACTGTGATGAACCTCCTTAGTCCCCTGAGGTTAATTTCTTTTCCTGGAGGAGGACGACTAGCTGATTTCTACACGTTCCAGCAGTCTCAGCCTCTTCGTGGGTCTTGGGAAAAAGAGGAAAGCGTATGCCTCCTCTTCTCCAAAAAAAAAGAAACCCATACAACGAGGCCATAAATTCTGCTATAACCTGGAACTTCTGCTGAGCTTTTACCATCCCATCAAGCAAAAGCAGATTCAAGGCAAGTAACGTGGGTGAATATTTGCTCTGTGTCCGACGGCGGAGCCCCGAGCCAAAGCAACGCTGCGGAGCGCGGGTGTACCTGGGACTTCACGGGCTTCGTCACCCAGCAAGCTCTCCAAATCCCCAACTAGCAAGAAAGCTCTCAAGAAAGGCTGCTTCGGCGGCACGCTAAAAGGGAAAAAGGATGCACCTGCGAACCACAGAGACCAGTTACGTCCCGCTGAAGATTGAAGGAAGAAAGTGAAAATAAGTAAAATTATTTAACTGGCGTCACTTGATTTCACCCCACCATTTCTGCGACATTTACTCCGTTATTTTGGGATTTCCAGGTCGCTGGTGGAGCCCAGTGGAAAGGCGCTGACGGTCGGCAGCTGCAGTGGAATCCTCCTGCTCATGGAGCTCCTCCGTCCGACATCCCTGGGGAAGGCCGAGCTGCTGGGATGAGTCAAGGAAGGGAGGCTTGGCAGGCGTGCGGGCCCACAGCTCAGGTCTCCGCTCCCTGCCAAGCTGACTCACCCAAGGTTAGCCAGGAGCCGGCTCCGTGCCCCGTGGGGATGCACGGCCGTCTCTTCTTCCCGGCTACCTGCCGGCTCGGATAACCCAAGCCCCGGTGAAGAGCAGGGTACAACCCCGGGGTGACGCAGATGAACTTCAGCAAGCTGGAGCTAGATGAACTTCAGCAAGACAACCACAGCTCTGGTTCCAGCATAACCTCTGCTCGGACCGAAGCTGTCCTGGGGGAGGGAAGAAATTCTCTGCTCTAAGAGGCTTCATCGCTGCGTCGGATTTGAACAATAAACATTCTGCAGAGAGATATAATTCTAACAGGTTTAACTCCTATCACTGGGCATTAGTTTAATTGGGCTGTGTTACTGTGTCCTCCGCGGCTCCGCTGACAGCGGGTCCTCTCTGCGCATTAGATCCTCCCACCCGGCTCCCGGCCGCTCGGCCAGCCTGGTGGCAGCTGCTCTTTTCAGGGGAGAGGAGGGGAGAGATTATGCTGTCTGGAATTGGATTTGCCCAGGTTAAGGTGGAAACAAAGCAGAGGCATGTCTGGGGGGCGGGAGATCACTTCAGTTCACCAGCCGGTATCTTCTACAGGGGTTTCCTTCTACCTGAAGAGCTAAACTGCAGCTGACACCATGCCCTTCTTCAGAGGATCAGAAGCGAGTGGGCATAGGGAGTCATGACTAATTCCCTCTGCAGCCTAGGCAAATTGCTTTTCAGTACTACAGCCGGCCTAGACCTGACACCAGCCCCAGCATCGTTTCATCAAGAAAAAAGGCTCGCTGGCGAGCGGAGCCTGTCTCAGCGAAGCGATTCTCCCCTCTCCTGCACTCGAGTCACACGCCTCATGGAGAGCCAAATAAGTTAGATCCTAACAAATGCCCTTTTTTTTTTTAATTCCCCCCCTCCTCTTTTGTGGTCCAGTCTCTGTGAGTGGGAGGTCCTCTGCCCGCAACCACTTCCCTTCTGATCGGCTTGGGATGCTGCCCTGGAGATGCCACACCTTCCCACTTCCTGCAGCGGGCTCCAGAGGCCAACATCTGGAACATCACAGACCTCGGCTGCTACCGCTGTTCCCAACAGCCCGCACAGATGGAGCGTCCCAGCCTGCAACCGGGAGGTGAAGTCGGGGGCCTCGAGCTCGCTACAGCTACAAAGCAGCCCCATCGCTTCCACACCACGGCGCTGAACGCCGCGCTCCCAGGGGAGACCGGTGGTTTCCTGCCGTTTGTTCTTCTTTGAAGGGCTGCACTTGACACTTACTGTGAGCTTGTAAGGCTTTGGGCTTCCTGTTTTCTGCCTTCCACGTATCTGCTGCCTGGAGAGTATCATCATCATCATCATCATCATCATCATCAACACACGGCGAGTGGAAGCCATCTAAAGATCGGCATCTGACTCTGAGCTACCGAGTCGTTGACACAAAAAACTTGTTGTTCTTCTTGGGTGAGCCAAGGAAGAGGGGGAAGGAAGGATGGAAGGAAGGACAGAAGGAAGGAAAGGGAAAAGGCCTGGAAACACTCGTGCTGCTGAGTGAACCTCTGCCTGACGGATATTCTGAGCTGTTCTATTTAATACACACACATATATATGTAAGCAATGCCTGCCAACTGCCTCAAAACAGCACGCACCAGCAGCTCCGGGGAAGACAAGCTCCCAAAGGTGCAGCCGTTGATCTGCACGGAGCCCAAGCCCCTGCCACAGCTCGGGGACGGGCGATTTCAGCAGCAACGGAGCACGGCACAGGGGAGACAAGGGCTTTCGGATAAACCTCTCGCAACCCCAAACGCAGCAGGAGCAGAGGGAAATCAGCAAGTGCTGGCAAGAGAGAAGATACAGTCAACTTGGATGACAGGGTGTGGGATGGAGATGTCCAAGAAAGCTGGCCAAGAAGACCCAGAGCTGCAGAGCAGCTGGTTTTTGCAACAGCCTGGAATGGCACCGGCGTTGGAAACACGGCGAAAGAGGACGAGAGGCAAAAATCTCGTGGAGCAAGGCAATGTGGGGTCTCCTGGAGCGGGTGTGAAGACCCGAGGCTGGTGGGCTGCCTCGCCCGGGGGACCGCAGGCAGCAGGTCCTTCCGCC